TATTATTAGAACTGTGTGGTTGTACTGCTAGTCTTGTGAAGAACTTGGCAATGCTAGGTGAGAAGATTATTTATTTTTAATGTCCTAATCTTCATAATCTCTCTCTCTCTTCTTTTTTTGTAGCTAACGTGGAAGAGAACAATTCCGTCTCACGTGCTCTGACTCGTCTCTCTGAAGTAGAAGAGAAAGTTGAGTCCCTTCACTCTGAACAGGTATTACTACACTGTGCTGATATCATGTGACTGTCATGTGACCTTTGCTTAGAGTAACGTGGACCTTTATGTCTTTGGGGAGACCATTCGTGATTATGTTGCACTATTGGGATCTTTAAGAGTAAGTAACGATTGTGTATGCGTGTGTGTGTGTGTATGCGTGTGTGTGTATGTGTGTGTGTTTAAAAAGGACCAATAAATTAAAATGGCTAATGAAGTAACAGTGTTACAAAATTAATAATAAATTTTATTTATTAAATTAGCTACTCGTTTAAATTTTTTATTTAATTACATGTATAATATTAATAGGAGACGTTCAATCAACGAGTGAAGAATTATGGTGTTTGGACTAACGCTCAGAAGACCCTCCAGAGCAAGAGAGATTCTGAAGCTAAAATGCAAACAACAGGAAAAACTGACAAGCTCCCGATAGTCCAGGCTGAGATAAAAGATGTGGGTGTGGTTCAGTTATTAATAGTTATTAACTAATGTAATTTTTTGTTTTAGTGGGAACAAAAGGAGAAGGATGCCGAGAAGGCTTTTAACAAATGCTCGAAAGTTTTGAAAAGAGAAGTAGAACGTTTTGAAGTAAATTATATTCTGCTTTCTACTTTACCCTATTTTACTTCTATCCTTATTCTGCTGTAGACGGTCCGTACTAAGGAATTTAAGGCAAAGTTTTTAGAACACTTAGAAGCTCTCATGCACATGCAAGAGGAGGTAAGAGCCTCTAAAACACATTTTAAAATGAGTTCCCATTTTATTTAATGTTATAAATTTTAAAATAGATTTACATGCATATTTTAGTGTCTTTTATATAATTTTTAATACTCGCCATCTTATTTCTTAGCTCATTCGTCTCTGGGAAGGATATCTCCCAGATGTGCAGGCCATTGAGGCTGAATCTTAGCAACATGCTCCCCACGTCTTAGCTCTAAGTTTCTGATAGCACTAATAAACTGCTCCTGCTGCTGCTCTATATTATTATTGTAATTATTATTATACAGTACCTGCTGTGTTTTGTGATAAACTTTATGATATCTATATTGTTATTATCTATTGTTATTATTATTGGCAATTATTGTATTGTTTATTATTGGCAATTTTTTTTTCTATTGTTAATGAAGATTTCTTTATAATGATCGTTTTAGTAAATTAAAACTGTGTTTTCCGTATACTTTAGTGTAAATTATAGTAAACCACTTGTTGGATTAAGGACTAAGTCCGCGGATTCTATTACAGTACATTTCCGGATACTAACAACAATGGCGGCCAATAGGGAAAGAGATGTTCTCTTTGAAGTGAGAAATGCTTTCTTCATAGGAGACTATCAGCACTGCATAACAGAAGCACAAAAAATAAAAGTATATATTTTTAATTCTATGAATAGACTGTCCTTTTTTCCAGCCCCCAACAGCTCCAGTGGCAATAGAAAGAGATGTACTAATGTACAGAGCATATTTGGCTCAGGTAGCACCTTCTTTTCTATTTCCTTTCATTCTCTATCCCTTTTATATGTAGCGTAAATATGCTGTGGTTCTTAGCGAGGTGACTAAGAGTTCTCCCGTTGAAGTGAGGGCTGTTCGTTTGCTAGCTGAATATCTTAATGCTAGTGGAGCAGGAGGAAGGTAGAGAGAGAAAATAAATACTGCCAGTATATTTTGACATAAATCACAAGGAAATAATTCATTTTTTCTGTGACATACATGTACACGTGCTTTTATTGTGTGTGGAAAACTTAAGATGATTCCAATCAAACTTTGAATTTTATGAATTTTTTAATTTGCTCAAAAATTAGGCCAAAGACCATGTACTATAGTACAGGGAATTTGGCCAAATTTTGCCAGAAATTGAAAGTAGAGAATTCTCCATTTTAATAATATTTTTTAGAGCGAAGGTAGTATCGGATCTTGATAAAACTGTGAACAGTGGAGTTGATGCTGATAATGATACTTTTGTAATTGTTGCTGCCTCAATTTACTTACTAGAGGAAGTGAGAATATCACTAGAACCTTCTCATCCTGCTACATGTATCTTGCTCTCTCTCTCTCTCTCTCTTTCACTTTTAGAATTTTGATTCTGCCCTTCGATGTCTCAACCAGTCAGATTCATTAGAAGGGTGAGGAGTTATTTAATATTACAATTTTTTATTGTCATTATTTTTGTTCACAGGGCAGCATTAAGAGTACAAATATTACTATCAATGAACAGACTTGACTTAGCAAAGTATGTACCGACAAAAATCATCCTTTTCTTGTCTCCCGTTTTGCTTTTTTTTTCTTACTTTTTGATTTTCATTGCAATCTTCATTTTTCTCTTTTTTGTAGGAAAGAGCTCAAAATCATGCAAGAGAAAGACGACGATGCAACTCTCTCTCAATTAGCTCTTGCTTGGTTCAATTTAGCCGTAGGAGGAGACAAGTATCAAGATGCTTACTACATCTACCAAGAGCTTGCTGATAAAACCACACCCACTCCACTCCTCCTGAATGGACAAGTAGGGATTATAAAAGGAGATAAATTTGAATGTCTATTTATTTTCTATTTATAAATTTGTCATCTACTGTACTGTAGGCAGTATGTATGATTAGTCAAGGTAAATATGATGAAGCTGAGAGTGCACTGCAAGATGCACTATCAAAGGTAAGTTTAAGCTTTATCATGTATAATGTTCTTGAATTATTTTAATTATTTGGTGTATTTTTATTGTTTTTTTAGGATAGCAATAATCCAGAAACTTTAGTCAATTTAGTTGTTGTTTCGCATCACTTGGGAAAACCATCAGCAGTGAGTCCTCCCTTCCTCTTTTGCCATTTTATTTTACTTTTTGCTTCTCTTTGATCAGGTTAGTCAGAGGTATATGGCTCAGTTGAAGGATGGTCATGGAGGGCATTTATATGTGCAGCAATTCAAGAGCAAAGTTAGTGAAGAGAGAAGGAGAGTTGAATATAATAATTGACTCATTCCTTTTTGTCAATGATTATACATAGGAAGAAGAATTCGACAGACTCTCGAGTCAGTATTCAGGGAACAATTGAATAATGAAAATATTAATGATAATTATTGCAAATAAATTAATGATAATAACAATTCACTAATTAAAGTATTTTAATAATAAACTATAATAACTAGGATATTAAAACATGGCAGATTCTTGCACGTTCTCATCTCTTGGTCTATCAAGTTGGTTGGTTAGACAGTGCGAGGGTCTTGGATTCAAAGAGGCCACTCCAGTACAGAAGAACTGTATTCCACCAATAATGGAAGGTAAAGAATACTACTATACGTAGTTGCACTGCACGTGGTTGGGCTTATCTGATTGGTCAGATGATTTCTCCTTTGTACAGGAAGGGACTGTATTGGTTCTGCTAAGACTGGCAGTGGAAAGACAGCTGCATTTGCTCTCCCTATACTTCATTCACTTTCACGTGATCCTTACGGGATATACGCATTAGTTTTAACGCCCACCAGGTTAATTAAAATTTAAATAGAAATAAATGTTTATTGTGAGCAGGGAACTTGCCTATCAAATTTCGGATCAGTTTTGTGTCCTCGGCAAGCACATTGGCGTCAAAAGTGAAGTAATTGTTGGTGGAGTTGGTAAGCTTTAATGTCAATGATCAATATAAGTTATAATTTTTTGCTAGACATGATGGTTCAAGCTTTGGCATTGTCAAGGAGACCACACATTGTCGTGGCAACTCCGGGTCGTCTGG